CTATCACAAAGATTTCTAGTATTGAAACCACATTTCTTGACACAATTTGAAGGTAGGCTCTAATTTGATTGTTTAGAGTCTAGGCTCTATCCTATATAAAACTTAATAATCCATTAAAATGTAAATTTTAGGCTTCACAGCTAGATGTGATCTTCTTTATGAGTTGGTTGCTACTTCTAGAAGTTACTTTTTTTTCATGAGGGAACATTGGTGAAAACAAGTACTGTTGTCATCTTTATGAAGATATAATTAGAATATGTTATTGTAAATGTACACAAGAAAAAAAAATACAATCACTTAAACGTTCAAAATAAAAATATAAATTAATAAAGTTTATTTGCACTTACTTCCCTGTCATTATATTTTTATTAGAATTTCGGTCGTCCTCTTAACTTATTATGTTACCTGTCAAAAAGAAATTACAAAAATTACAATATTCCGTTCCGACCATTCTAATATTACCCTTATTTATTATAAGCGTACCTATCGATGGCAACTTGCGAAACGAGAGCATAGTTTCTTCTATTCCCTCGATCAGAAGAGGAGGAACTCTTCCAATTATATAAAGGGTGTAATTATGTAATCTTTATATTGAGATTAATTTATGGGTTGAAGAGATTACACCCAATATTTGTGGTACTAAAATTAATTCTAAGTAGGGTTTTACTCAAAGCGATTAAAAGAAACAGCACACCCCGGCAAAAGTATAATATCTTTGGGGTTTACTGTCTACCTTCCGAGTTGAGTTCCATACATCATCCGTCTCTCTCTCTCTTTCTTCTTCCCCCTCCCCCTGATGGACACCGATGTGTTCCTGATGGACGTATGACATTTTCAACCTCAGCTTTACACTGACACATGTTCCCGAACCAAATCCTCATCTATACATTAACCTGGTCCATCAGTCTGCAGGTTGGATCATTCAAATAAAATGTGCTATTTAAAGAAACATTTAAAAAACCTTCACATCAAGAAAATCTTCACATACGATCTACCCCACGTTTGTTAGGGCGAGGATTTCTAAGAAAAGCAATCTCGAGTCAGTATTTTACAGTAAAATGCACATGTACTGTCCAACTTTCATTGATAGCTCATTCCTGCAAAATCAGAAATATATAAAACACAAGAGAAAACAAGGTTATCACAACTACACCAAATCCAATTTGGACGCCCAAATCATCACGCTCAGACCCTTCGTATATGCCAACAAGCTCAAGAGCAGGAACAGCTGCGAACAAGTGAAAACATGTTTTTTCACATGCAAACACGTGAAAAGTCTGTCTCTCTGTTACATGTGAAAAGTCTCTTCTCTGTCTCCACAAATCATCGCCCTCAGATCCTTCATACATGCCAACAAGCTCAAGTGCAGGAACAGTTACAAACATGTGAAAAACTCTTACATGTGAAAGTCTCCTCTCTCTGCACAAATCATCGCCCTCAGGCCCTTCATACATGCCAACGAGCTCAAGTGCAGGAACAGTTACAAACATGTGAAAAAACTCTCTTCCGTATAAAGTTGATTAGATTCATCAATGTCATGCAAGTGTTACTTCATGGTGTTGCATAACATGAATCAATCAAATGATACACAGGTAAATGCAAGGAGCCCCACCTCTCATCCACACGCGGGACTCTCTGAAACTGATTCCTCCAAAGGTTGCTTTGATTCACCATTCGCCATATCAATAGCGACAATGCTGTTTGTTCTATTAAGCTCATCCTGATTCTCGCTCTCAACCTCAATCCTCCCTGATTCACTAGGGTGCTCAAATCCCTTACTCTCACTATTAGTATCCTTCTTTCCTATGACATGACAAAGAGATACATACTTGAGAGCAAGCCTTTTATATTCATTGAGGTGTGCTTCCACATCCTCCATCGTTAAATCGCCGGCTTCTGAGTATAAGAATGGGAACTCCCGAATAAACCCACTGATTTGTTCTTCCTTTAGAAGGGTAGAAGCCCCTTGCTTTTCCAAATCCAGAACAGATACTCCATTTGGTTTCAGAACTACTTCTTTACCCACCTCCTTGACCTGTTTTTGTGGATGCAAATGTTGGCCTTGTGGGGATTGTACATAATTAGAATAAGTTCTTGTTGGCTTTTGAGAGTGTGGTTTGGGTTCAGGAGTAGTTGGTGTTTCAAAACTGTTGGATAGGCCAGTTAGAATTAATCGTGCTGATTCCATGTTCATTTCGAACTCAGTTTCATCCATTGAAAGGGATCCTGCATCAAGGTTGGCAATGAAGGACTCTGCAGAAAGTAAGTTTGTGAAGAAGTATGCGGATTCAGAAACAAGCCGTGATTGTCGCCTGTAACGCTGTATATACAACAAATTTGAATGCAGCTGAGGAGGATTCGCCTGCGGGAGATCATCATCATCATTAGCATAAAAAATTGCCACATGGAAATTAAAAGCATATTACACAATGACCTAATGGAGTATATTGGAACATCACGGTGCAATCTAATGACAGATGGTGATGGACTTAGAGTGAGACTCACCATGTTTCATGTCTTGTTCTAATGGGTTGCACACTTTCCCACACTGTCCATCATTTCATTTGGGGGTGTAACAACCCAATGGCTTTTGATTTTTGAAAGGGTCTTATCAGATTGTAGTACAATTCCACAAACTAATAAACCATCTTCATGGAATGTTATCTTAATAAGGTTACATAGTTTAAGACCATCTTCATGGAATGTTCTCTTAAAAAGGTTTCATGGTTTTAAGTTTTATAAAAGCAAAATGTGAAACTTCTACCCCTGTACGTTGCAGGACTTCTTCAATGCCTAGTAAAATTTGTTCAACAGGTACAAAGTTACTCTAACTAAGTTCAGCACCTAGCAAAGTGAATATGACAATACCTAGGAATAACACCATCTAATCCAAGGAAACCACAGCATTTAATTTTATGGGGGCCAAGTTCCCAGCACCACCACTTCTAATAATCATTTCCTAGAGACGAGATTTTAGCATGTGCCGTATGATAAAATATTATCATTTGGACATACGAGTATACACATCACATATAATGCCTTCCACTTGCATTCCTAAGCGACTCTCAGAAATACCAGGGTCCAAGGTTTGACCTTTGCCTAAAGCAACTCCAAATGGAATGGGGACATCATAACAAACAAAATTAATATAGAAAGGCAAATAAACAAAAATGAGATTAAATAAAATGGAAAAAATATTTTGACATACAAATCCATATAACAAGAAACCGAGTTAAATTACACTGAACAAATATAACATGTGGAGAATGTAGCCCATGTAGCATAGGTTCGTCCCCATTATCCATCTCAATGATGGGTTGTCGAAGATGAAATGTTGACTCCTCTGCTTCATGGACAATGGTGAACTTAAGGGTGAGATAGTGTTCATCCCAAGTGACTGTCAATTAGGATGTATTTTGCAGATGAGTCCATTTATACCACCTTCACTTTGTGTGAATAGAAAACTTCCCTTCCACAAATAGAATAGTTTACTATTGGAAAGAAATAAATGCTTTGATCCATCTAGTCATAACACACCATGTCAATGAGGTTGTCATTTTCACCATCCCATCAATACGTTGGATGATGAAAGAGTTGTTGGGGACTGTGTTCATCCCAATTGACTGTGACTAAGGATGTATTTTTGCAATGAGTCCATTTACACCACCTTCACGCCGTGTGTATAGAAAATTTCCCTTCCACAAATAGAATAGTTAACTATTGGGAAGAAAAAAAAATGCTGTGATCCATCTAATCATAACACACCATGTCAATGAGGTTATCAGTTATTACCATCCCATCAATAGGATCATGAAATAGGATCATGAAAGAGGGAGAGTGGGACAGAATTTAATTAATGACATGTATGGTGGGACCCTTTTCCTTCCATCACCATTCAATGAGTTGTTGGGGACTGCAATAAACCTCATTGCCATGGAGTTATCATGACCATATATATCGTACTATATTTTCCTTTTACTATTTCCTTCAATAGTATATGTAGAACTTTCATTAAGGTCATTGCAACTACAAGAAGCCAGTAGAATGATTATTTTTCAGAGATCTATGACCTGATAAAGAGATATAGTTGATAAAGAATCATTTGGGTTAGTTTCACATATTAAATATATATACGGCAATAATAAGAAAACAAAGAAGGGTGTATCCATGCATAGGAAAGGTTACCTTGATTGTCACATAGATAAGCACTGGGAGGAATTCATCAGCTCCAGGGGGGTTATCATTTGATGCAATTGATGCATTTAACAGCAAGTTGTTGATGACTTTGCAGCAGTGGAGGATACAGAGAAGTTTGTCTCGTGGAGCTTTATACATATTAATTTTCTGTAGTTCTTTCTGCGCTAGCTGAAAAACAGATAAAAGCAAAAGTCTTTTAGTGGTCACAAGCTAATTTATGCAAGACACAAACACAATCTTGTAAGCATATAGACAGACAATATTTTCCATGGTATACCTTTGTGAAAAAATTTGTAGCAAGACTGAGACATATGATAATACAAAAGTGCAAAAACACAGTAACATTGGTCACTCAATTCTCCACCCATGTATTTTACCTCATTGAATGGTTCTGCTGATAATTGTAAGGGGCACAAATCATGACCCTGTATCTTGTAGATTATCTTTTCATATTATTTAGTTTATTATTAAATAATGAGCAAATACATCTACATGTATACATTCATGAAAGCGCACACTTTTGCATGCGCATACTATATGTTGCATTTCCTGCCCTGGATTACAGCCCCATCTCCAAGCAAACACAAAAGTATGCAATATGCCATTGGTCAAGAAGAATCCATGGAAAAACCTAACAAATAAAGGACCAATGGAAAAAACAGTTGTCTTTCATTTTCAAACTTCATCATCATCATCAAAGCCTTTTCTCAACTTATTGCGGTTGGCTACACGAATCTTGATCCACCATTCTGCTCTACTAAGGACCGTACCCTCAGTGAGGCTATAAGACCCCATATATTTTCTCACTACTTCCAACCATGCCTTTTTGGGACTACCCCTTACCCTTTTTGAGCTTCCACTTGACCTAACTCGCACCTCCTAACATGTGTTGTCTGTGCCACACATGGTCAGCCCACTTAAGTCTACTCTCTCAACTTATTGCCCATTGGTACCACACCTAAAATTTTTTCGAATGTATTCATTTCGAATTCTATACATTCATGTCTTGCCATTCATCCATCTCAATATCTTCATCTCCGCTATACTCATTATATGGGTATGTTGTTTTTGGACAACCTAGCATTCCGCCCTATAGAGCAAAGTTGGTCTCACAGTTGTCCTATAGAACTTGTCATTCAGCTTCGTTGCGATGCAGGCAATCACATAAAATTCCGGTTGCACTTCTCCACTTCGCCTCCCTAGCTCTAATTCTATGTTTGCATTTTCATCAATCTCTCCATTTTTTTCTCTACTTCTATTATTACTAAAATTGCATTTCATATACTCTATCTTAGTCAGGCTAATTTTAGAACATTTAGATTCTAGCATCCCTCCAAATTCTAACTTTGTATTGTCAAACCTAATTTATCATCACCAAGAATCACCTAGAGCCAAGTCCATCCCAGTTATTATTGCTATAGGAACAACATTTCATTCTTAACATCAACAGTTCTGCCAATAGAACTTTTGCGAAGTTTCATGGCATTGAAACTTAACGAGGAAGTATCCTCCATCCATCGGTAAGATCTAAATGGAGATGTTGATACTAAAGTTCTAAATCATGAGGAGACACAACTTGATATAACAAGAAATTGTTGCTAAACACAACTTCATCCAACTTAAGGGAGTTTTTCCCAGGACTTAAACCATGGGGAGTGCAGGACTGACAAGTGAACTCTACCACTAATCACTCAACTTGCATGATAAACTGACACCATTGCCGCCAGCATCAACCTCTTTGCCCTTATTGTTCAATCTTATGCCTCTCTCTCTCTCTCTCTCTCTCTCTCTCTCTACTCTACTACTACTACTACTACTACTACTACTACTACTACTACTACTACTA